CTGCTATATTTTTACCTAAGAATGTTTTTTTTGATTATTTATGTTCCACTATTGAAATAATCCTATACCAGTGAATACAGATGTAATTCACTTTTTGACTTTTACCACTTAATAAAACCACCCTAGTTTCATCATTTTTTCCCAAATGCCACTTTTTGTTTTTCACGGGTGCATAGTATTCCTTGACTAAATTTTACACAATTTGTTTATCCTTTGTCTTTTGAGGGACACTTATCAACTCTGTGACTTGTAAATTATGGACAATTCTGCATGTCCATAGGCTAGGTAAAGCTTATATTAGAGTTTTCATATTATTTGGATAAATATCTAATAGAGGTATTGCTAGATCTTATATGGAAATTTCCATTTTTCTTTTTTTTTTAATATTTATTTATTTTATTCATACAGAACTGGGGTACAAGCCAGAGGTGCAGGGGCAGTGAGAGAAGTCACCAAAGACAGAGTAGGGAGCAGAAAAGGCCTGCTGATGAAGTACACTGCTGAGGGGAGCAGCAGGCTGGTCAGGAAGGTCTGCTGTGCCATGTAGGTCACCTCCAGGGTGGAGATCAAACTGGCACTGAAGCGATTGAGGCCAGCTTCCAGTGCTGCGTCCTAACCCCTTGTGCCACCAGGGAGGGCCCATTTTTATTTTCTTAAGGAAACTCCATACCATTTTCCACAGGGGCTGCACCAATTTGCATTCCCACAAGTGGTGGATGAAAGTTCTGTTTGTACCACAAGTTCATCACAGTTATTAATTCTGTTCTTTTTTTATGAGAAATTGTCACATGCTTGAGATGGTATTTCAGTGTGGTTTGAGTTGCATTTCCCTTGTAATAAGAGGTGTGGAGCAATTTTTCATGTCTGTAAGCCATCTGAATGTCTTTAAATGTCTAATTAGGTCCTTTGACCATATTTTGATTGAGTTGGTTTTTGTTGTTGGATTATGTAAGTTTTGGAAATTAGCACTTTGTCAGATGTGTGATGTTACAAATGTTTTTTACCATTTACCATAATGTAGATTTCCTTTTTGTGATGATGTCTTTGAGATACCAAAGCTTTTTAATTTCATAACCTGTATAGTATTTGCTTTTGTTTCCCTTGCTTATTGAGGTTGAGTCCCTAAATGCCTGTGTCTGATGTCCTTTAGTGTGTCCAACATGTTTTCTTTCAAGCATGTTGTTGGTTCTTATATCCAGATCTTTCATCAATTTTGAATTAATTTGTGTGTATGGTGTAAAGTGTTTATTATTTTCTTTCTTTTTTTTTTTTTGCATGTGGTTATCCATACTTCCAAACACTATTTATTTTTTTTTAGTTATGAAGCAAAAACCACTGATTGCACACAGTTTGAGACAACAAAATGTATTAAGCAGAAAATAACATTCTTAATACGCAAGTTGAATTAACTGTCAAGAGTTTTTTAAACACCCTTGTTTAATTTTATCACAATATAGAATTTCTCCCTTCAGCTGTGGTCACCACAGTTTCCCACCATCAAAGCACCCATAGTCCTCCATCTTAGTCCATTGTGCTCTCTATCACCTATTTTCTACTCTTTCCTACCCCCTGCCCTTACCACTCTCCCCTCTTCAAAATCTCAGATCTATTTTTTGATTTAATAGTTTACAGTTTGTCGTTAATTCTTTGATTTCTCTAGATCGCCCATATAAGAGAAACCATCTGGTATGTCTTTCTCCTTGTGACTGAATTAATGTAAAATAATTTCTTTCTATTCCTTCCATGTAGCTACAAATGGCATGAGTTTGTCTTTTTTGATCACTGAGTAGTTTTAAATTGTGTCTATATACCACATCCTCCTGCACCATTTTTTTTCTCAGCATTTAGGTTATTTCCATAGTTTGGCTATTGTAAACAGTGTTACTATAAATATAGAAGTGCAGGTTTCCTTTTGAAATAATGTTTTTGTGTCCTTTGGGTAAATTCCTAGGAGTGGAAACCCTTGTCATATAGTAGATCCATTTTTAGTGCTTTAAGGACCCTCTGACAGTTTTCCACATGGCTGGAACAGTTCACATTCCTAACAGCAGTTTAAGAGAGTTGCTTAAGCTCCACATCCTCACCAGCATTTATGAGTTCAGTTTTTTTTTTTTATATGGGCCATTTTTATTTAAGCCTGAAGAGATAGCTCGTTGTGGTTTTGATTTGTATTTCCCTGATAACTAGTTATAACTAGTTGGAAGATTTTTTCATATTCCTTTAGACCATTTGCATTTCTTTTTTGGTAAAGTGTTTTTTTTTTTTTTAAAGATTTATTTGCACATACAGAACTGGGGTACAGGCCAGATGCTCAGGGGCGGTGTGAGGCTTCACCAGAGACAGAGTGGGGAGCAGAACAGGCAGATCAACGAAGTACACTGCTGAGGGGAGCAGCGGGCGGGTCAGGAGAGGTCTGCCACTCCAGTGGTCACCTCCGGGACAGGTGGGAATCGAACTCATGCAGAAGTGGCTTTAGTTTCTCAGTCCTATGCTTTAACCCACTGCGCTACCAGGGAGGGCCGGTGAAGTGTTTTTTAAGTTCTTTTGCCAATTTTTTGACTGAGTTGTTTGCTTTGTTTTTGTGTGTTGTGGAAGCTCTTTGTAATCTTTGATATCAGTCCCTTATCTGACTTATGGTGTCCAAGATATTTTTGCCCATCAGTATTATGTCTGTTTTGATTAAAGTCTCTTTTACTGTACAGAAACTTTTTAGTTTGATACAGTCTCAGCTATTTATCCTTAAAGATTTTTCTGAGGTTTATATCGTTTTACTGTTTGACCTATGTTTTCATCTATATATTTTAAGGCATCAGGTCTTACATTCAAGCCTTTTATCCAGTTTGTGTTGATTTTTGTATCTGAGACAGTAGTCTAATTTAATTATTTGTGTGTGTTGTAGTTCAGTTTTCCCAACACCATTTATTGAAGAGGCTGTCCTTGTTTCCGTGTATATTCTTTCCTCCTTTGTCATAGATTAGTTGACCTTGTATGTATAGTTTATTTCAGGACATTCAACCTGATTCCATTATTTTTTGCTCTAATATCATGCTGTTTATATTATAATGGGTTTGTAGTATTCTTTGGAGTCTTGCCTTTTAGTAAGGAGAGCTTTCATTATTTGAAGTTTTGTGGTTGGATATGAATTTCATCAGTACTCTATTTCTTTGAAGAATTTCATTGATATTTTTATTTAAATTGCCTTGAATCTGTAAATTGATTTGGGCAGGAAGGCCATTTTGATAATGTTAATTCTTCCAGCCCATGAGCAGGGACTATCTTTCCATGACTTGTGTCTTCTTCTGTTTTAGCAGTGTTTTGAGTTTTCCTTGTATAGATCATTCATCTCTTTTGTTAGGCTTATTCCCCGATTTTTAATTTTGAGGGGTTACAATTATAAATTGAATGGTATTTTTTTAAAAAGATTTATTTATTTATATATACAAGAACTGCAGTGTAGACCAGAGGTGCAGGGTTGAGGAGGTGAGACAAGTGGGGAGTAGAACAGGCAGATGTACTTAAGTATACTGCTAATGGGTGAAGCAGGTGAGACAGGAGAGGTCTGCTGTGCCATATGGTTTAACATCCTGGCTGACCAGGGATTGAACTTGTGCTGCAATAGCTTGTGATAGCTTGAAAGTGCTGCTTTTAACCCCTGTGCCACCAGGGAGACCCCCAATAAATGGGGTAGTATTCTCAATTTCTTCTATTTGATTCATTGTTTATATATAGGAAGCTACTAACTTTTGTTTATTGATTTTGTAACATGCTACTTTACTAAACTGGTTTATTGTTTTAATTAGTTTTTCTGTTGATATTCTAGGATTATCTTTTATTTGGTATCATCTTCCTATAATGATAATTTCACTTCTTCTTTCTGTATTTGGATTCCTTTTTTTGTCTTTCTCTTGCCAAATTGCAATACTATTTTGAAGAGCAGTAGTGAAAGTGGACATCCTTCTCTTTTTTCCGGTCTTAACATAAAGGCTTTCAGTTGTTTACCATTAATAATTATGTTATCTGTGGGTTTGTCATATATAGATTTTATTTTTTTTCCTGAGTTTTTTGAGGGCCTTCATCATAAATGGATATGATCATATGGTTTTATTATGTGATTTTTTTTATTAGCAGAGACTATCTTATTGTTTACTTCTCTGTATCTAATATAATGTGTTTTTATTTAACTTATTTATTTTTTACATATATTTGACATCATTGTTCATTTTTGTACAATTTTTGCTTTCTCTTCTCAGGTATAGTCCCCATGACATTTCCACCATCAATTCACCTGTGCACTGTCATCATAATCGTTTGTGCTCTTCCATCCCAGTTTTGATCCCTCTCCCTCCTCCACAGTGCAGAATGTCTCTGATTTATAGTGGCCTGTTAATTTTGTTTGTTTTTTTTATTTATTTTCCTGACATTTCACCAAGCATAATCTTTTCCAGCTCCATCCATTTTGCAGCAAATTGTATGCATTTATACTTTTTGATTGCTGTAGTATTCCATTGTGAATTAAATGAAGTATTCCATATGACATCTTCTTGATCCAGTCATCTATTTGGGGAAATTTGGATTGTTTCATATCTTAGCTATTGTAAATAGTGCTGTGATAAATGATATTGAACATTTTTTTCATATTCTTATTGGACATTTGCATTATGGTTTTGATTTCTAGTTTCCTGATTATAGGTGATGCTGAACATTTTTCATATACCTGTCGTCCTTTTGCATTTCCTCTTTGGAGAAGTGTCTTTTACACATGTACCACACATACCACATACTTCATAAACTCCATACACATACACAAATGCACTATATTCATCGCATATATCACACACACCACATCTGTTTCACTCAGGCCCAAGAATGATGGTGGTGCAATGGATTTGAACTTCCATCAATTTGAAAATGACTTGTACCTTCCCCAGATATTTTCTAAGAATATTAAGTGAAGTAAATAATAAGGAAAATGAGTGGTCTTTCTTTTTGGTCCTCCCCAGAACTGAAAAAGCTGTTGATGAAGGCCTGCTTATTAATGTACAGTTCCAGAAGGCCCTTGCAGAGCTTGCAGAGCTTGATGAAGACCTGGAAGGTGAGAACTAGTGACCCTATACTATAATATTAACTTGTATGGTAGACTTGGAAAATTTTGTTTTCCCACCATATGCTGCATAACCACCTGTAGAAGAGGTCTGCAGGAGAAATTGAAGTTCAGGTTGGAGAAAGCCTGGGTTTAAGGGCAAGCACACAAGTGACAGAGCTCCCCACACCAGTTTTCACTGGGCTGCCAGCAGTACTTTGGAGATTCATAGGCAACTGCTGGAAACCTGCCTTGAACAACCCTGATTGTACATTTTAAAAAGTTTTATATACACATTATGGGACAAAAGACTTCCAGCACCAAAATGAGTTAAGGAAACATTGAGTGACACAAATAAACAGGTTTCTTCCATCCCTTCACTTGTTAATATTTGGTATATCTCTCAATGTGAGCCCTTTATGGTGAACATCTGATTACACTATTATTCTATGGGTATTGACTGTCACTTAATCAAATATTAAACAAGAAGAAGGAAACAGGCCACAGAACTGGTAAGGGGTTTTACCTGATTTGCTGTTCACTTTTCTGTCGTAAGGATATGTGCTAGCAGAGTTGAAAATGTAAATCAACCATTCTGTGTCCCTCAGTTATATCTGCCTGTCTTACTGCTTCATTTATTTCTGAGATGTACCAGATTTGGTTACATGTCTCTTAAGAAGTTAAAGTGACGGCTCATTATCCCGTGTGGTTTGTATTGCATCTGGTGAACAAGAGCAAGATAATACCCAAGCCTCAGTTCCCCTTCCTGGTTTCATGCCCATTCAGTGTTTCCAGCGGACTTAGATTTAGATACCTATTTTTTTTAAATGGAGGATTTTCAGAGTGCTTACTTGAAACATTATAGACCCACACACAGTTTCTCTGTTCAATAATGAGAATGGAGGCTCTGATTCCAGTCATATGAAGATTACAACTGAAATACAACTTTAAAGTATGTAAATAACTTGACACAAAATAACTTTCCCTTACACTCAGGGAACTCAAGAAACTGGGTGTAACTGTACTAAGTGGTTGGTGTAGGAGTCATACAGGTGTCGCCAGTTTGTGATCTATGTTTGGATTTCTTTGCAGAAATAGAAGAGAATTATGAAACAGACACCAGTTCTCTAGCCAGCAACATAAAAGGTGTGTCCAGTCACTGTGCACTGGAGACCATAATCCCCAAGAGTGATGCGGATGCAATCCCAGTCACATTTATAGGGGAAGTTTTAGATGACCCCATGGACTCAGGATTGTTATCTAATAAAAACAACAATGCTGGTTGTTTTGACCTGGGCAGTACCATCAGGGGAACCCCCAAGCCTTCATACCAGATTGAGCACAGCCAGCAACCTCAAAGAAAGAGGGAAGAAGTGCCTCATCTTGCTCCCTCCCATCACACAGGAAAGGAAATCAAGTTGTCCCTACCCAACACCCATAAAGATGTGAACCTGACCAAAATGGAGCCTGAAGTGACTTCTGCTTCCAAGCAGAATACAAAGGAGCAAAGCCAGGAGCCAGGTTTTGCCTCCAGAGGGAAGACACAGGCCATAGAGATAATAAAGTCACAACCAGTGAGGGAACAGGAAGGTGATAATAAGAACAATGTTTCAGGACTGCCATCTTGGCACCGGGACCAAAACCCAGGGGGAAGTTATGGACTTAAATATGGCCTCACAACATATAAAATTATTCCTCCAAAGTCAGAGATGAAGTGCTATGACAGAGGTGTATCTCTCTCAGTGGGAGCCATCAAGATTGATGAGCTGGGGAACCTAGTGAATCCCCACACCAGTGGGGGCAAGACCTTCACCCAGACATCACCAGCTCTGGAAGCAGAGAACCAATCTATTGGAAAAATCAAAGAATTCTGGAGGTCCAACTCTATGGAAAAAAATTGTCAGCCCATGGAGTGTTCCACTAAAAGGACCTCCACACTTACCTCTGCCACTCCAGAAAAATCACAACAAAGCAGACTCAGAGCAGAACCCATCTCTCCAGAACCCAAAGTGATGATGCCCCAGCAGCAGCTGACTCACCACAAAAATGAAAAACAATTAGAAGAGAGAAGTAACCAGCCACCAGTGGCAGCCACTTGCCATGTGAAAGTTCCAGCGAAAGTCACAGAAGTTCCAGCGAAAGTCACAGAAGTCCCCTTTCTTAAGCCCCAAAGAAGGACATCCAGCCAATATGTGGCCTCTGCCATTGCCAAGCGCATAGGGCCCCCCAAAACCTCTGCCAATGTGGTAAAGAAGTATGATAATGCTGGGAAGACCTCTGAGGAGAGAGCAGCAGAGCTAAAGGGGCAATCTGGGGCTGTGAAAGATGGTTCAACCTCTATCCCATCTCTACAGCTACATAAACAAAGTGAAGAGTCATCCAATACCAACAGGGAAGAATTGGCAGTAGGCATCCTACCCAGAAAACAAGTCGGTAGCTTTTACAGAAAGCTGTCTCCACAGGACAGTACTGCTGATACCCACAGAGGAGCGTGTGTCCCATCAGTTACATCTTCCCAAAAGGCTCATGTATCTATGGGACAGAGCTGTGATTTCAGTGGGAAGCAAATTACAAGTGACCACAAGGCAGGCTCAGCCTCTGACCCCAAGTGCATGCTGAACAGCACGAATCCCCCTGCTCCTCACTCAAGAGATGATCAGACGCTTCGCAAGACTCAAGTGAATGGTACCAGGTGTGTTCCCTTCCGCAGTGAGCCTTTTAATTCCCCGGAAGTGTCCGGCACCAATGACCATACTGGACGAGACCCACTTGATCAAGAGAACAAACAAGACACAACATGTACAGGCGATGGTGCCTTACAACCCACCATCTTTGGGCCAAAGAAAAAATTCAAACCTGTTACTCAGAGGCCAGCACCCAAGGACACATCTCTGCACAGTGCCCTGATGGAAGCTATCCATTCAGCAGGAGGGAAGGACAAACTTCGAAAGGTATACATGGCAAGCACGAGCCTTTAGGGTTTGGACACTCCTAGATGCTCCAGATCTAGATTCTTAGAATAGTATTGATGGGCCAAAGGGCAAGGGTGTAAATAAGGTTTACAGATTTCATTTTAAGCAGGAATCTGTTTTACTGTGTTTGGAGTATTTGAATGGAAACATGTGGTTCTTGGCTTATATGCACTATGCTTAGGCTTCTGGCTATCTGGAGAAAGGTATCACCAGTAAGAGTCTATGCTTGGGCCCAGAAAAGTGGGGCGGTGGGGCTGAACTATCCACATCTGGTTCTTGAATAACGGAGATGTTCAATGAAGAATGGGGTCAGGACCACTTCTTTCCTATATCCTTTCTCCACTTACCTAGACACACAGCACATTGCCATTGTGTGTCTTAATTGCCATATCATCCTGAGAACTAGGAGCATTTCCTCCATTTTTTAGATGAGGCACAGCCACCAAGAGTTCAAGTGATAGACCCCAAAGTCACACAGTTGCTGGGAACCCAGGATCTCATCTCCATATGTGGGCCCTAAAAGCACATATCAACTCCAGAAGGCAAGGATGAAGAACAGGAATGACTTGGAATTAGGGGGCCATTGCCAATGCTAATCCACATACATAAGCTTTGACTTAATACAGTATAAAGTCAACTGGACCTTAATTGACATTTCTGCCTTCTAACAGGGAGTCTGTAAACTCCTACTGTTAGTTACAGTTGTCTTTTGTACTGCCTGACAGTATTTCTCCATCTTCTGTGTGAAATGTGTTAATATTCTAGATAGCAGATGACACATCAGGGAGAGGCTCAAAGGAACCATCCTACTCAGAGACAGAGAGCGAGCGCTCAGCACTGCTGGCGGCAATCCGAGGACACAGAGGCACCAGCAGCCTACGAAAGGTAAGAGAGGGCTTTCCAAAGTGAGATGGCTTCCCAGGCCTACTCCTAGCCAAACCTCCAATTCTTAAGTCGATGGGGAAACCTACATAGGGTGGCCAGACCTACCCCAGGAAGAGGCATTGATGGATGGCCATTGAGAAGCAAGAGCCACAGTCATCCTCCCTTTCCCACCTGCACATCTAATGCTAAGAACATTCCCAAATTCCCTGTACACCAGCATGGCTTCGGGGCATAGATGACTCAACAGCTAAGAAGTGAACCATCTTCCCCCTGGAAGGAAGTGCTATACCCTCTAGTGTACTTTGTTCAACCTCTGAGCCAGCATGGACTAAGTGTGGACTGAGTGTGGAGAACCATGGAATGTGCTTCCCTGCATGGCATCTGAGAAACCAAGTGACAGGTGCCTTACCTGCTTAATTGAGAGCGTGTCCCACCCAATGTCACTCAGATTGGCTTGTGTAGCTTCCGGTCTGCCCTCACTTGCCAACCTGAGTATAAGACACCAAATCCTCCCTCAAGGATGCCTGGCTGCCACAAGTTCAGGGATGGTGGGCACAAAAATCTTAGGAGATGCTGTAATTTAACCGTCTTGTTGCTAGGTGTCATCCTCTGCGTCTGAAGAAGTCCGGAGCTTCCATGATGCCTCACTGTCTTCAAAAGGGGCAGAGTCCCATGGGCTAGAGGACCCTAGTATTCAACCTCACCTTCCATTGCCACCTCCATCCTCTGCAGCCACTGGGGCTCCCTCTGTGTCCAGGACGGCAGTCGGTGCCAGTGCAGGTGCCCTCAGTGACCTAACAGATGCCAGGCAGGCCTTGATGGATGCCATCCGCTCAGGCACAGGAGCCGCAAGATTGAAAAAGGTGATGGAGAGGGACTGAGTTTGGGGGTTGGTGTGGAGGCACAATGAAAGTGGAGAATGCTACCTGCAGCATTGTAAGGGTGGCTGACAATGGCATGTCCCCAAAGATGCTCACTCATGCAGGCCCCCATAAGCACCCAGGGATGAGGGAGTTCTCTACCACATTCCCAAAGCCTGAGCACATTCCCACCACGCAGCACTGATGTCCAGGGACAAACTAAACATAAGTCTGTGACATGTTCTGTAGGGCATATGTCACCCTCAGGACCATAAGCTGAACAAAGCTGCCAGCTTGGTTCTTGGTCTTCTTTTCCTCTTCTTTCTTCCTCCTCTTCCTCCTTCTCCTCTTTTTTTTTTTCCCCCAGCAACAATGTTTGAATATTATCAGTTGGAAATCCCTTAGGCAGATCACATGCTTTCTCCTCCTACAGTTTCTACTTCTTTGTGTCTTCTGCTGGTCTACATGTTTGTCACCTGCCTAATCCTTTAATGAAATGGATTCTGTTTGACCAATTAGTGTTCCATATTAAAAAGAGGCTGAGGTTGCTTGACTTTTGAGAACTGTTGCAATACAAAAATGCTCCTGACCTCTCCCCTGATCCATTGCTTGTGGTAATGGGATGTTACACCATTAATGAAAATGATTTCCAGATCCTGAACTTAGATTTCATGTGTACCTGAAGAAGCAAGTGCTAGGATGATCCTCATTTTATAAGCAAAGTAAGAAGACAACCTGAGTAATGTGGTCTTATATCAACTGGACTCAGATAGGGTTAGTCTTGAGTATATAAAGTGCTCATAAGTAGTATCTGCTCTGCTGTACACTCTCTGGGGCAACAGGGATTCCCTGGACATTGGGCCACATTCACACAGGGCTGTAGAGACCATGAATAGGCAGCTGGCTCTCCTCTTCCACTCAGCATCTTGTGTGGTGTAGAAGAGGGGCCCATACCCCTGTGGGAGCAAGGCCCTGAAGGGCAGCCCCCAGGAAGCCCACAGATACCCATCTCTGTCACCCTACTTGAAAACAGCTTGAAGATGCTCCAGGGCCACTGTTATATCGCTTGGGTCAGCCCTCAGAGCTTATCTGAACAAGAGTGAGGATTCCTAGTGTGGCTATGGAGATAGATATCAAAAAATCACATAAGGAGGTTGCTAGCCTTTTTCACTGGAAGCCAGCACTACCTCAGAATGCTGGAATAAGAAAACATCCTTGAGCAAATCACAAGGGACATATTTCTCACTCTTTCCTTAAGAGAGAACAGTTAAATTTTTTTTGAAGACCCTTGGTTTTCTATATACATTTTTCATTTCTATGGAATTTACACATTGAATCCAAATACTTATTTTATGTAGAATGAGAAAGTGAAGATTTTTGAATGAGTCATAAAAATGAAACCGTATGAATTCTTAAGACATCAGCACTGTAAGTTCAACCCCAAACAGTCTCTTTCCTCTAAATGTGCCACAAAATCAAATTTAAAGTGCCGTTATTCAAAAGCTGTTCTCCAGTTGCCCCACTGCAGTCAGTTGTCAGCCTTGATAGTTTGTTTAGTCCTTGGTACATTGGTGGGCTCTAAAATTGTTTCTCAAAGCAAAATCTGTTACTGATCTACAGCCTGAGTCAGAATGGGGATGTTAAGCCTAAATATGCACAATCATCAAATGTTTACCAACTGACTCTACATTCAAGCTTCAAAAAATTATCTCACCTGAGCTTTTGATGTATTTTGATTAATACTGATTGTAGTTATAAAAGGTTGAAAAACACCATTCTCATTTTTTATATATGCCTTCTTGTTGAATGATTGTTGGATCTTTTCAAAATATATTTTACTTTCCCAATCTTTCAGGAGATGTGAGGAGTCTAGGATCAGAGAAATGAAAAGTATTACAGCCAGGATGTGGTACATTTCTGCATTTCTCTTCTAAAGTGTGTGCCACTGTCTTGCAGAAAGAAATAAAAAGCAATGTGAGAGTTGTCTGGAAGGTTGGGGGATGTTGTGCTATGAGAAAGAAAATGGGGATATTTGAGGGCAGTGAAGAGTGTGGGAGTAACATGGCCATTGGAACAGGCTTCTTGCTGTCCAGTTCTGACTGTCCCAAGGTCAGGATGTCATTTCTCACAATCTCATATTTTTTTCAGATGCTTCAAATGCATCCAGAAGCCCAAGTTTGTACTGTTTCTCATATTAATCTAAGTACTGTGATACGCCTTATCCATCTTGGGTAGTTTAGGTTGTAAATATTCCACTGGCACATTTGATGTTAGATGTTTAGGAGACAAGATCAGCCTTTTTTCTGCAGCAGCATCTGATCAGCATCTATCAGGGACACCGAGTCTGGGCCAGGTCACCCCTGGAACTATACATTTATTCCTGTTGAGGCGTGTACTGACTTCATTTTTAATGTCTCACCCTATTATTTGAGTGGAACAGTAGAACTGTGGTGCCAAGGGACACAACGGCAATTCACACAGTAAAGGTCAACTGTGTATTTTTCTAAGATGCCTGGAGAGATGGCCCTCTGCTCAGCATGGAGCATAGTGTGGAGGTTTCTGTTGACCGCAACAGTTGTACTTTGGTATATGTTATAGCGCTTGAACCTCAAATCATTGAGCTTTGTCTCTTACGATATTTAAACTGTGTTTCACTTGGTGTTTTTTGTTTTTTGTTTTTAAGTTATCTAACCTTGAGGAAAATACAGTAAATGTGGGGTTCTGGGACCTGCACTGTATGTGTAGGCTCTCCCTAGCCTACACATTCTCCCTCTTCCTGGCTATTCTCCAGGTCCTCAGACAGGATGACTGATGACTGAGTGTTACTGATTCTGTCAGGGATGCATGAGGGCTGCAGGTGTGGGTCAGGGCTCTCCTCCCTTTATCAACCCATCTCTTCTGTCATTGGCATCCCTGTCTCTTTGTGTTCACTAGGAACCCAGCCTCCTATTAACCAGCATGGCAAACCCACTGTTAGCAAGAGTGCTGGTCATGCTGACAGGGCTTTCAGGGATGTGGGACTTTGAGTGGCTAACCTCAGATGGATGATCACTTTATCTCTCTTTTTTTTTTCTTTTAAGATTTATTTATTTATGCCTGCAGAAATGGAGTATAGGTCAGAGATGAAGGGATGGTGAGAGGATTCACCAGAGACAGTGTGGGGAGCAGAATAGGCCGAAGTACACTGCTGAGGGGAAGAGTGGGCAGGTCAGGAGAGGTCTGCCACGCCATTGTGGGTCACCTCCGGCGCCAGGGATCAAACTCATGCTGAAGTGGCTTTAGCTTCTTAGTACTGTGTTTTAACCCACTGCGCCATCAGGCAGGACCCGATCACTCTATCTTAATACAGAAGTTTACAATGACACTAATGCTGCCTATGTTAAAATACAAAACACTGACCCAAAAGGAACAATCACTTTAAAAATGAATTTTTCTCCTCATCTATATTTGTGATTGTCAGAATAATGCTAGCCTCCCATCTCTCCTCCAGCTCAGTAAGAATATGCAGCACGTTGTTCCTTCCTCAGGGAGCACTCTCCCGGAGTAGCCTGTAGACTTACCCCAGTACTCATGTCTTCCATCCATACAGTCCTTATTCGTCTTCACAATCCTGCCTGTGTTTTAAGGCATGATTTGTGAGGTCCTGCAATGTTTGCAGAGCACCCTTTAAGTAATCTTTGTTTACAGTGAAGACATTCCCATGTCCAGCCATTATTCTGCAGCCATTTCCTGAGAACTCATCAGGACCCAGAACTGTAACAGCTGCTGCATAAAGGAGCTGACGGGAGCATTTATCTGTCCTGTCAGAACTTGTAAAGGTGTGCTGTTTGTTGTTGCCCATGGAGACTTTTCACAAAGTTAGGGATTTGATAGAAGCCTCTGAGACATCTTCCTTATGTATGATAGCTTAGCATGAGCTTTGCCACCATCCTGGATGGAAAGGCTTCCATTTCACAGCTGGAAGGCGGGGAGCAGACAATGGTGGAAAGCCACCTGTACCTAAAAGGCCCTCCTCTCCCTGCTGGACCTTAGTGCTATGCACTGTCTTCCATGGCAGGGATTTAGTAGTTCTGACTGCACAAATGTTATGATGTTGACAATAGAAATTATTACACCCAACACTATCCCCATAACACCCAGGAGACCACAAGCCAGGCCAGAAAAACAGAAGTAGCAGCAAATTTATTTTCTTCTAATCCTCAGTGTCTTGACTTGTAGGTTAAAGAAATCCCAGTTTCAATGACTAGGGATAGTACATGAAAACTAAATGTCAGCAGTAATCCCATCACACGTGGATTCTAGCTGCTCCTTAGCCTTTGATATATTCGAGTTAAATTGGAATAGTTCAGAGGTACAGTCAGTTCTTTCTGCTCATTACAAATCTCCCAGATAACCACAAGGAAGCTATTGTGAGAGGCCACCTATGTAGTGACTTCCTTGAAGTCCTGTTCCTGAAAAGCTATATCCCTACCTTTTTACCAGCTATTTCCTCTTACCCTTTGTGCTTCTGGATTACTTCAAATGCTCACTTTCTAGGCTGAATTATGTCCCCCTGTAGAACCTCATATCATAATGCAAATCACAGCTCACGTTTCTGTACAGTCCATGTTGCTGTTGTGCAGTGATTGTCTCTCTATCATATCCTCATCTTCAGCACATCAGCTTCTGGGGGTGCCTAGCAATCAAGAGAAAGAAAAGACTCTTTGATATGTTTCCTCACCCTCCAGACCCAGTGGCCTCACTCAACTTGGTGATGATGTGCTTATAACATATTTATTTCATAATCATGTTCAATCTTGCCAACAATCCACTTCAATTTAAAATAAACCACCTTCTTTTCCTCTGAGTAATAAAATCTTGAGTCCTCCATTATCATCTGTTCCCAATTGGTACCATTAACCAGTGCCTCATCTGTCCAGGCTAGAAGTAGAACTGAAATAGACAATCCTACAACTCTCTGATAATTTCTTCATTCTTTTTTTTTTTTTAAAGATTTATTTATT